GTATATAAGTTATGAATTTAGAAAATGAAATTATAGGAATAAATTATTTAAAGTAAAGGAGACAATTGAAAAAATAACTTTTAATAGCCTTTAAAATGGCTACTAGAATTGCCACTAAAAAAAATAAGTTTTTCCGACAATTTAGTAGATCTTTACCGGCATTTTATATAAATGCCGGTAATAGTATTAGCGACACTGGATACACCAGCCATTAATTAAATGCTGGTAAAAAAATTATGGCCATTTATATGGCCGCTAAATAATAAGTTAATTGCCACAAAAAACTAGTTTTGGTGTAGTGATTGTTACTACAATCTACTTTTGATTATATTATAAATATGTAATATATGTTGTATATTGTTAAAAAGTGTAAATATAAGTTATAATTACACATAATATATATTTTTGAATCTCTTTTAAAACTAATATTAAAATTATGTGTAATTATATGTTAAATATGTGTGTATTTACATATATTATATCTATAATTATATTTTTTGAATGTCAATATATATAACATTAATTCAATATTTATTAAATATTTATTATTTTTTTTATTATTATTATAATTACTATTATTATGAGTATTATTATTATTATTATTATTTTTTCTATTATTATTATAATTATTATAATTATAATAATAATAATTATTATTATTTTTATTATTATTATTATTATTATTATCATCTACAAAATTTTTCATAGGTAACTTACCTACAGAAAATCCACGAAAGATGTTATCTATGGAAAATTTCGTAGGTAACATTACCTAAGGAAAATTCCATAGATAACAACTTTCGTGGGTTATCTAAGGAAAATTTCGTAGGTAACATTACCTATGAAATTTTCCATAGATAACAACTTTCGAGGTTATTATTATTATTATCATTATTATAATTATTATAATTATTGTTTTTATAATAATAATAATTATTTTTATTTTTATTTTTATTATTATTATTATTATTATTATCTACGGAATTTTCCGTAGGTAACTTACCTACGGATTTTTTCGTAGATAATCTCGAAAGTTGTTATCTACGAAAAATTTCGTAGGTAACGTTACATACGAAATTTTCCGTAGATAACAACTTTCGTGAGTTATCTACGGAAAAAATTCCGTAGGTAACTAGAAATTATCTACGAAAAAAATTTCGTAGATAATATTTCGTAGTTAACTAAATATTATCTACGAAAAAAAGTTCGTATATAATAACAGTTTTTCTTGTAGTGTAAAGGTTCTGTGTTGTCGGTTCGGTAGGACCTAGCCACTTAGACTAATCACCACGTTGTAGGAGATCTCTGAGTTGAAATACGTGACGACGCATAAGTTGTTGATGTGTTGATTTAGTTGCATATCTGTTGTGATGTTGTGAAGCTGTGATTAAGTTGGGTGTTGTTATGTGTTGAACGTTGAACTGTTGAAAATGTTGTTTCTGTTGTTGAAGTTGTAAGTTTTTTATATCTATATGTTGATTATTTTCAACAGCTTACCCTTATATGTTTCCATGTGGTTTGGACTGCGATGATCATATTATGTATGAGAGCAAAATAGGGATAGGCTAGAGAGTAGCGGTAGTATCACAGGTGGTGACTAGAGCTAATCTTTTGTGTAGACTACCTTGGTATAGCATTTTGTTAGTATTAGATACTTGACTTGTTGAGCTTCAAGCTAGATATATGTATATATATTCTACTCCTACGTGATGTTGTTTTGCAATGTGGCGGACAGGCGGGTCTTTACACAAAGATTGTTCTATATTATTTTGGTCATAAAAAATTATTAATTATAGATTTATGACATTTTCTGAGTTCTTACTTTTATTCTTAACAGTTATTATAAATTATTAATAACTTTTTTTAGTGATGACCTTAATATTATTAACTCTAATTAGTAATCAGTTTAGTGTGGACATGAAAAATAAAATAAAATATTAATTAAAATAACAAAATAATAAAAATATTTAAATACATAATTCAATTATTTAATGTGTTATTGTTTTATATAAATAAGATAAATAATAAATATACATAATATACTTCTATTATTTATTTTAATTTTAATATATAATAGTTT